ATCTTGATAAAGGAGCATTGACTACCAGACAAATAGAAAAGGCACAGGTGTCAGAGACTCCGTTTAACTCATTAACGAATGAGGGACAGTGTGCGGCACAATCTGTTACCGTTGGTGGGAAGGGTGATCAAGAGTAGACACAGCCCTGGCTGGTCTGGCTCAGCGGTTAGAGCGTCCCCCTGCAGACGGACAGGTCTCGGGTTGGATTCTGGTCCAGGGCATGTACCTCGGTTGCAGGCTCAATCCCCAGCACATCTGGACGTGTGTGGGAGGCAACCAATCCATATGTTTCTCTCATTCTCTCTCCTCCTCCTCCTTTCCACACTCCCTAAAAGTCAGTGGACACATAGAGGCCACCAGGAATGCTGGGTGAATTCGCTAAACGGATACAGAACTGGTCCGCACCCCTGGGTCAGTCACCGCCTGCAGCTCCTCCGGACCCTGCATTTTTCTGGGCGAGGGCCACTTGCAGCATCACCAGTGCATTCAACAGCGTCCGGCCTTGTCCGGCAGCTCAGAGGCGGTCAAAGGTTCACGGAAGAGAACGCTGGAGCCGCACCAGATGCCCAGATTCCGTGGGAGAGACCCAGTGGGTGTGGAGATCCATTTCAGGGCATCTCAGCTGCCCGCTCTCCTCTGTTCGGCCCAGTTCCCAGGCAGACTCCCCCTGTGACACCCCCGGGGCGAGAGAGACAACGCCGCGCCTTGGGGGCCCTTCTCCCCGAAGGCAGCCACCAGGTTTCCAAACCCAGAGGCCCGCTTTGCATGCATTTACGCCTCCTCCGAGCCTGGCTTCTTTCTCTCCATGGAAGCGCCTCTGACATTCATCCTGGTGGTCGCACAGGCCAGTCGTTCACTCCTTTTCATCCACGTGCAGGGGCCCCCGGGTGAGGAGACCACGGACCCATGCGGCTGTTGGGGGGCCTGGCGTGGCTCCCGGTTTTAGGAACGGATGGTGCCGGGAGCCTCCTGGGGAGCCGTTTGGTGCCCGTGTGCTTGGCTTTCTGTTGGGTGGATTCCTGGAGGTCGTGGAGGGGAGGCGTGGTTGGTTGTAGTGGCTTCTAGCAGGTCCCACCATTTGCACCAGGAGGTGGGAGTTTTCTCCCTCCTATTGTGAGTCCCTCCTTCCAGCTTCCGGCTCCAGGATGGTTTCCTCAACTCCCCTAAGGAAACTTCCTCCCCGAGAAGTTTAGGCTCCTGCCTACAGTCATTTTTATGTGTTTTAAAGTTTTAAGATTTATTTTTTGTTAATCTTCAGCCGAGAATATTTTTAGAGAGAGTGGAAGGGAGGGAGGGGGGAGAGAGAGAGGAACATGGATGTGAGAGTGATGCATCAATTGATTGTCACCCAAATGCACTCCAACCAGGGCTGAGGATCAAACCTGCAACCCAGGTACGTGCCCTTGACTGGGAATCAAACCTGAGACCCTTCGGGGCCCAGGCCAACACTAACCACTGAGAAGCACTGGCCAGGGCCCTACGGTCACTTAAAAATAACTACAGTCTCAGCAGCCAGCAGGATGCTTTTAAAGTGCAGGTGAGAGAGATCAGTCCCTCCTTGGTCAGAGGTCGCCAGGGCTCTAAGTGGTAGAGAACCTGTAGCAAGGCAAACAACCTCGCCTTTGGATGTGCAAATAGAGGGGAGGGTCAGCTGACTTACATCCCCTTCTGGGGAAGAACCTAGCTGCTGGCTATTTGCAAATCCATCTCAGCTCTCCACACCTGCAAATGCGTCTTTCCTGTGATCTCTCCTTTGAACTGGCTTCCCTCAATAATGAGTTGAATAAAATCTGTAAGACCGGTTCATTTTTAAAAATATTGTTATTGATTTCAGAGAGGAAGGGAGAGGGCGAGAGAGATGGAAACGTCAATGATGAGAGAGAATCATTGATCGGCTGCCTCCTGCATGCCCCCTACTGGGGATCGAGCCCACAACCCTGGCATGTGCCCTTGACCGGAATTGAACCCGGGACCCTTCAGAGGCTCTATCCACTGAGCCAAACCGGCTAGGGCAATACCGGTTCATTTTTAAATCCATATGAGAGTCATAATGTTACTTAAAAAAAAAAATCTTTTAACACTGACCTTCCCCAACCCAGCCTTTCTGTACCCATTGTGTGCTCACGTTCCTCAGGGCTGGGTCATCGTCTGAGGTTATTTTGTTCATTTATTTCTTTACTTGGCTTTCGTGGGTCTTTCCCTCCTGTCCTGGTCGCTGTGCGGAGCAGGCACTTCAGAAGATAAAGGGCCGAGGGAAGGGAGGTAGATCGGCAGCCGCCGGTGCTGGGGTGACAGCACCCCTCCCCTGGGCCTTCTCTCCTGCGGGCCGTCCGGCCGTCTTGTCTGTGTTCGCCCCGTGGCGTTCCCAGGATCCTCCCGGCAGGTCACACGAGGCCAGGCCAGCCTGCACTTGACGTTCCTGACAGGTGAATACATCATGCTTTTATGGCTTGCGTCAGGCTTTGGGCCCGGCAGACTGATAAGCAGCCGGTGAGGTTGGGTAACCTGGGAAGTGAGAGGCCTCCTGCAGGAGCCGGCTCCGGCTCTCCGCCTCCCCACAAGGACCTGGGGCTCGGGGAGGCCAGGAGCTGTGCCAGGGTCAGGGCTGGGCCCAGGCTCCTCTGACTCAGAGGGCAGCCCTTGTCTCAATAGTAAAAACCAGCACGGAGCCCGTGGCGTGTGCCAGGCCTGCCCGGGATCCGTGTCCGTGAACTAATCCTGACGGCAGCACGGCTTCCAGACGAGGAGGCCGACGTCCGGGGAGGGAACGACTCAGCTCCCACAGCAGAGAGGCCTGGAGCCGGCGCTAGAGCAGCGGTTCTCAACCTGTGGGTCGCGACCCCTTTGGCGGCCGAACGACCCTTTCACAGGGGTCGCCTAAGACCCTCCTGCATATCAGATATTTACATGACGATTCATCACAGTAGCAACATGACAGTTATGAAGTAGCAACGGAAATAATTTTATGGTTGGGTCACAACATGAGGAGCTGTATTTAAAGGGCCAGAAGGTTGAGAACCACTGCTCTAGAGGCACCCCAAGGACTTGCTGGACATTTATTCCAAGGCCCTGAGCTGAGGGCTTTACATGCATCGTCTCATTTCCTCCTCTTCTTTTTTTTTTAAAAATATGTTTTTATTGATTTCAAAGAGAGAGAGGAAGAGAGAGAGATAGAGATAGAAACATCAATGCTGAGAATCATGGACTGGCTGCCTCCTGCACGCCCCCTACTGGGGATTGAGCCTGCAACCCGGGCATGTGCCCTGACCGGGAATCGAACCGGCGGCCTCTCCATGCACAGGATGATGCTCAACCAACTGAGCCACACTGGCCAGGCTCATTTCCTTGACACCCGATGAGGGGGGTGCTAGCACGCGCAGCAAGGCACAGGCGGTTCAAGACCACCCTTGCTTTTGAGACCAACTTAAAGTGCAAGGGTTTCCAGTAATTCACCGGAAGGACACAGAGAGCTCAGAAAAGCCTGCCCACCCATGCTTACGGAGCGTTACAGCGAGAGGATGCTGATTCAATCGGCCGAGGGAAGCGGGCACAGGGCCGGGCCCAGGACACGTCCCGTGCCAGCTGCCGGGTGTCCTCTCGCCGCGGAGTCGTGCCCACAGCGCTGACGTCTCCCAGCCATGCCGAGTGGCAATATACAGGCGCTCGCCGCCCAGCGCCGGGTGCGCTCCGAGAACCGGGCCATTCGGCGATTTGGTTGCTCTGCGGACATCACAGTGTGCGTGCCACGCCCCCGGCGGCACAGCTCACCACACACCCAGGCTGTACGGCCAGCCCACGGCTCCCAGGCTACAGGCCTGGACAGCACGGTCCTGTTCAAAACAACATGAGATTAAATCCAGCACAAGAGAAGACGATGCCATCAAAGGCGTGGCAAACGCGAGATGCATGAGGCTGCAGGTGCCACACAACTTACTGTTTATAGCAAACTTTAAAAATATCTTTTATTGATTTCAGGGAGGAAGGGAGAGGGGGAGAGAGAGAGAAGCATCGATGATGAGAGAGAATCATGGATCGGCTGCCTCCTGCACACCCCCTACTGGGGATGAGCCGAAACCTGGGCATGTGCCCTGACCAGGAATTGAACCCGCACGTGACCTCCTGGTTCATAGGTCAATGCTCGACCACTGAGCCACGTCGGGTCGGGCCAGGTCTTGTTTACTTTTTTCTTTTTAATCTTCACCCGAGGATATTTTTTTCTATTGATTTTTAGAGAGAGTGGGAGAGAGAGGGAGAGACAGAGAGAAACACTGATGTGAGAGAGACACATCGATTGGTTGCTCCCGAATGCCCCCGACCAGGGCCGGAAGCCTGCAACCGAGGTGCATGCCCTTGACCAGAATCGAACCCCGGGCCCTTCAGTCCGGAGGCCGACGGTCTATCCACTGAGCCAAACTGGTTAGGGCCGGGCCCTGTTTACTTTCTAAGATCTTCTCGGTTGCCCTCCGGAGACTGGGCCAGAGGCAGGGTGAGCGGGTGGGGGTGTCACCAGGGCGCTGCATATGCCTCCTGCCTGTGGCCTGGGCAGAGGTGTGCCCTCCCCACCCGGAGCCCTCAGCTGAGCCACAACACTGCAGGGATGCTTGGCATGATCTTCTCCGCTTTTTTGAGTCCAGGGACTTGTAACCAAGTTTCCACCCCGGGCCTGTTCATATCTTTTAAACCAGTGATGGCAAACCTACGACACGCGTGTCAAAGGTGACACACGAACTCATTTTTTTTGGTTGATTTTTCTTTGTTAAATGGCATTTAAATATATAAAATAAATATCAAGAATATAAATATTTGTTTTACTATGGTTGCAAATATCAAAAAATTTCCATATGTGACATGGCACCGGAGTTAAGTTAGGGTTTTTCAAAATGCTGGCACGCCGAGCTCAGAAGGTTCGCCATCACTGTTTTAAACTGCACGTGGCTGTCGTGTCTCTGCTGTGCAGACCCAGCCCGGAGCCCCATGTTCTCTGCGGACTCTCCCAGGCAATGGGTGGCTGCGTCCACAGTGACGGGCTGAGGCCGGCCAGGGGTCAGGTGTCCCTCTTTTACCAGCAGGGGGACACAACATTGGGTTTGGTATTGATCCAGGGTCACGTGTATTCCAACGTTTATCCGGTTTCTCTGCCACTCTAATTCGTTTGACCGAGCGAAGAGCTGGAAAATGATGGTGGGGTGGTTAGGCACCTGATGGCTAGGTTCCTTCTCAGAAGTATCTTCTTATCGACAGACGAGGCCGCGTGCTTCTCAGACTCTATGGCCCTGTGGGTCTCCAGGAGGTACGTGGAGGGTGTGAGGCAGTGTCTGAGCAGAATCCTGCCCTCGCAGGTAAGGGCCAGTGGTTGGCTGGGTAGGGCCTCCTCCTAGGGAGAGACGGCCATACGTACAACTCACCCCAGGGCCTTTGCACTGCCTTTCCCCTGCCTGCAAAGCTCCTCCCCCATGCCTCACAGCTGATTCCTTCCTGCCACTCAGATCTCTGCTCAAAGGCTAGCTTTCCAAAAGCCTTCCTGACGCTCTGTCTAAAGTGGTCCCAACCCACCCCCAGTCACAGTCTCATCCTATTCGCTTCTCAGTCTCCATCACTACTTACCATGACCTACAAGTGTTCGCCTGCTTGCCATCTGCGCTCCCCCGCGGAGGGCAGCTCTGCGAGGGCGAGGCCCAGGAGTCTCTGGTTTATTGCTTTCTCCCCAGAACCAAGAACACTGCCTGGCACATAGTAGACACGCAACACGCATTTGTTGAATAAACGAACATGTTCTTGGGTGGGAGGGCCACAGGGGTGACTCTTACCATGTGAAGTGGGGGGCCACCTCATGCTTGGTGTGGGAATCGCACACCTAAAATAGCGAAAAAACTAGGGGATAGTATCGCAGAAACCTCTCAGCAGGGGCTTGCAACAGAAAAAGCGGGAAGGGGTGGGTGCCGCCAGGTGATTATCTGGAACCTTCCGGAGGGGACGGGAGTCGAGAGAGGAGCAAACAGCCTGCTTCCCTCGGGTCTCCATCCCGGGCAGCAGGACAGGCCCCTGGAATTCCTCTTCTCTTCTGCACAGAAAGAGACGCGCTTCGGGGACGGGTGGGGCCTACATCGGTCTGGGAGGGGCAGCTGACTGGTGGCCAGCCAACCTGTGACGCCTGGGGAGCAGCATTTTTTTTATATTAAAAAGCCACTTTTCTCGGAGAAATGCGGTGGATACATTAAGCTGTCGCCTGTTCTTTGGAGAGCCGTTATTAATGGAAAACAATAGATTAATAGTTTTAAAACGCGTGTTCAATAAGTAATTTTTATGGCTCTGGATAGAGCCCATTAAACATTTCTGTGTGTTATTATAAAGAAGTTTTAAGCGTAAAATCATAAAGTCAATAATCAGAGAATTAGTCACAGCGGCCAGCCACAGGCCATTAGTTTCAGGCGCTGTCAGGGACACCTGTGGCTGTGGGAGGTGGGGCCGGGGACACGGCGCCTGCCGCCTCCCAGACACTGGCGGGGACAGCAGGCAGGTGTGAGCCGCCGGACGCCAGGCAAATATTTACGAAGTGCAAACGTGAGTGCAAACCGAAAACGATCCAGGTCAATTTGCACATCGCGGGCTCAGACATTTTATTTCCCCAGCCGCCCTGGGCCAGGGGCGAGCCTCCAGCTCCTGCTAAAGATAGAGATGGAGGCCGCGCGCTCTTAAAGGGAGAGCTGGTCGCCGGGGACGTCCCTCAGAAGGGCTTCCGGAGCCGTTTTCTGAAAAATGGCGCTTTCATCTCCCAGCAAATACACAACTGAATCAAACATTTGCGAACGAAACGGTGGGCTTTTAAAAAACGGCTTCTAAAAGTCATGACAACAGCGATACAAGGAATACAAAATAATATTGAATGTAAAGAGTAATTTAACGTTAAATTTTTTTTTAAAAAAAGTAAAACAAGATAATTAGGGAAGCTTGAGAAAATCCAAAGAAGATAATAGAACTACCCATAATCTCTCTACCCAGAGATGTTCTGTTTCATTCCTTCAACAAATGTTTATCGAGAATGTTTTATGCCCGACACTGCTCTGGGCACTAGGGAGGCAGTGATGAACCAAACAGATACGCCTGGCCCCGTGGAGCTGGCACTGGGGGGTGGGGGGTGGGGTGGGGGAGGGGCGGAGGAGCTACAGCAACAAATATAATAAGTAAAGTAGAAGGCAGGTTAGAAGGTAAGCAGAGGGCAGGATAGAGGTGATCAGAGGGTGGGCCTCACGGAAGATGCTATTTGGATAAAGACTTGAAGGAGGTGGGAGTGAGCGTGCAGGTACCTAAGACAAGGGAGCTCCAGGCAGGGGGAGGGCAGTGCAAAGGCCCTGAGGCAGGACTGTGCCCAGTGCTTGATAAATAGCTGGGAGGCTGGTGGGGCTGGAGCAGAGGAAGGGAGGTGAGGAAATGGGAGAGGAGGTGAGGGGCCAAATCAGGACTTCGGCTTTTCCCAGGCGTGAAAAATGGAGAGGTCTGAGCAGAGGAGGAACATGATCTGCCCCAGGTTTGAAACCGATTCCACTGGCTGCTGCATCCCCAACTGCCTGCATTTTTTTTTGGTCAAATGTGATCACTTCTGCATCCTGATTCCCGATGGTGACTTCATTTTTTAAGCCGGATACTCGGCCTGCTTGGTGCAGGAGGGGTGGGTTTGGGAAATAGTTCCTACAGGGACACCTGATGTCTCTTGGGAAGCTCCCATTCAGGGAGGGTGAACGGGCTAAGCCTGGGCACGGAGGCCGAGAAAGGCATCTGTGGAGATGGAGCGAGAGAGACAGAAGACGGGGGAGACCCAGGCTCTGGGCTCTAGAAGTTGCTGGGCATAGGTAGCTCTCAGAAGACCACTAGGTGTGTTAACCTAGCTCAGATGCTGCCTCCTCCAGGCAGTCTTCCTGATTGTTGATCACTCCTCCTCTGTGCATTGTACCTGCCTCTATCTTTGCAACTGCCACCCTGATTCCTAACACAGCCACCTCCTACTGGATCTGGGAGTGTCTGTGTTGGGAGAACACACCCAGTGTTTGCCTTAGGGTCTGGCACACAGTAGGTGCTTAGCAAGTGCTTCATGCCGTGAACACATGGTGCTGCCAGATTCACAGAGGCTGACCGACCTTGGAGCTGATGGAGCAGAAGCGTCAGGGCCCCTCCCTTGCACTCTGGCCCCTTATGTGCTCCCAAGACCATATGACTGGAAAGTTAGCAGAAGTAAGGTTGTTGTTTTTTTTTGAAGATGCCTTTCCCTCAAACTGTAGGAGCTTCAGGCCCCACACAACCAGGGAAGGCTCAGGGAAGCAGGTTTCAGAGCTCGGGTTCGAAGGGTGCCCATCAGAGGGGGAGAGACGCTTCTTTGGGGCCAGGGCGCTGCCCTGATCCAGGCAGCAGCTGAAGGCCTGTGGGGTGGGGGTGGGGGGTTGTAGCTCCCTGGGCACTCTTGTTGCTTAAACTCACTGCCTGGCTCCTGAGAGGGTGCAGACCGCCCCAGGGAGCCTGGTATTTCCCTTCTCTTCTCTTCTTCTCCTCACCTCCATTTCCTCTTTCCTTAATTTCTTTTTAAAAAAAATGTTTTTATTGACTTTAGGAGAGAGGTAGGGGGAGGGAGGGAAGGGACAGGAGAGAGAGAGAGAGAGAGAGAGAGAGAGAGAGAGAGAGAGAGAAATATAGATGAGAGAGAAACACCCATCAGCTGCCTCCTGCACACCCCCTACTGGGATTGAGCCCGATTCCCGGGCATGTGTCCTGACGGGGAATCGAAACAGTGACCTCTTGGTTCATGGGCTGACGTTCAACCGCTGAGCCACGCCGCTGGGCTTCCCTTCATTTCTTTGTCCTCCCTCCCCTGACCAAGCCCAGAGTTTCTCCCGAGGGGGCTGTGGTCATAGTGGGGGAAGAAATTTCAGGAACTGTCCTGTCCCTTCTCTTTCTCTTCCTGTCTGCAGTCGCCTTCCGCTTTGACGCCTCCACAATCCCCATCTGCACTTGGGCTTCGTCATTTACCTACTCTGAGCCTCAACGGCCTCATCTGTAAAATGGGCCTCAGAAAGCCCACCCTCTGAGACATCTGTGAGGGTCAAAGGAGACAAGGTGCGGACACATGTTTGTCACCCATCAAGGGACATTCAGGCACCGGTCCTTGTTCTGTCCGACAAACGTCCCCCAGCCGGGAGGGCTGCCCTGGTGGGGCTGGACGGCCAGAGCCCGGAAGCCGGACCCAGGTTCTGCGTCCCGGCCGCTCCCTCCCTCCTGTCCGAGAGGATGGCCAGCTTCCCGTCAGCGACGTTAATCATATTGCTGTGCGGAGTCACTGACCTCTAATTGCGACCCATTAACTGTGCTTTCCTCTTTCATTTGCACGTGGATTTGCCCCGCTTCCAGAAAGCAAATTACAGGCTGGGAATCAGAATATTTCAGAGACGGGTGAAGGGGTTGCAGCAGAGCGACCGCTACATAATGAAGTGCTCAGTGTTAAGGTCCAGGCTGGGCCAAGAGAGAGGCCACTGCCGACCCACGTCCACGCAGGTACCGACTCGGGGCCTGGGGTGGGGGTGGGGCATCCCAGGTTGGCTTCTCTCCGGAAGCCATGGCTCCTGAGCCTCAGGGTGTGGCGGGCCAAGCAGGGGCAGCAGGAGGTGCGGCCTGGCACCTCTCACTTGTGGTCCCTGCTGGGTGTCCAGTTCCATTGGGCTTTTGTCTGAGCAAGTTGGGAGGAGGTGGGATGGGGGGGAGGGATATTAAAGGTTTGTGGACTAATGTTCTTGACATCCCGTTGTACCTGGCCCAGGGGACAGCAGGAGGATGGGACTATCACCAAAGGTGCAAAGTTGTGTCCTTGTGTCCTTTCTCTCGATGCTTCTTGCCCTGGGTAACGGGAAAGGAATATAGACTTTAGGTCATGAGAGGACCTCAGACGCAATCAGGTGAAGTGTCTCATTTCAACAGGAAACAGAGGCTTTTCCCCAAATCCAGCAGTGAGCTCCTTCCTTGTCTCCCAGATCCCAGATCCCTCCCCTGCCCGGGGGGGGGGGGGGGGGGAGAGCTCTGTGAGCTAAACAAGACTTGGGTAGGGGGCAGGTTACAAACCCAATTGCCTACAGGGACCAAAACCACAGCAGAAATGAGGGTGCCAGACTGAGGGGGCAGTCAAGAATTGTATTCATGTCTTCATTCATGTAGCAAACTTTATGCCACTCACCCCGTACTGGGCACTGTGGTGCCCGCTCTGTAAATGTCAGATATCAAAATGCAGTGGGTGCTATTATAATCCCTCCTCAACGATGAGAGACGAAGCAGAGAGAGACTGGGAGATGTGTCCAAGGTCCCCCAGCCGGTAAGTGGCAGAGCCGGGCTGTGAGCGTCCCCCAGCCTCATCTGGCCAGAGCTTCGAACTTTTTAAGAGAAATTAGAGCCCAGCTGGTGTGGCTCCATGGTTGAGCGTCGACCTATGAGCCGGGAGGTCACGGTTCCCTTCCCGGTCAGGGCACGTGCCCAGATTGCGGGCTCGATCCGCAGTGTGGGGCGTGCAGGAGGCAGCCGATCAATGATTCTGTCTCATCATTGATGTTTCTATCTATCTCTCCTTCTCCCTTCCTCCCTGAAATCAATACAAAATTTTTTTAAAAAAAGAGAAATTAGAGCCCTGACCTGTTGGCTCAGTGGACGGAGAGTCGGCCTGCGGACTGAGGGGTCCCAGGTTCGATTCCGGTCAAGGGCATGTACCTTGGTTGCGGGCACATCCCAGTAGGGAGTGTGCAAGAGACAGCTGATCGATGTTTCTCTCTCATCGATGTTTCTAACTCTCTATCCCTCTCCCTTCCTCTCTGTAAAAAATCAATAAAATATTTTTTTTTAAAAAAAGAGAAATTAGAAATCCATAATTGTATGTAAAAATCTCCTAATTTTAACAAGTTGACTTTAGTTTTGTAAACATTATGTGGCTCAAAGAAAATACTGAATTTGACTTGGGCAACCCTTGCTCGGTACAAAGGAGATGGACCAAGAAGAGAAAGAGGAGAGAGGGGGGAGGGAGAGAAGAGGAAAGGAGAAATCAAAGGAGCCTGGAGCGAAAAGCCTGCCTATGGCGATCACTACTCACGCAACAAGCATTTATTAAACACCTACTGTATGCCAGGTGCTGTGCTAGGGCTAAGGGAACAGGTGTGAGGAAGACACAGGAGGCGCTCACAGTTGCATTCCCGCCTGGCCTGAATTTTAAAGCAAGGGCGCCTTGGCAGGAGGAGTTCTTGGGCAGAGGGGCGACCCTCTGCGGTCCCATCGTGTCCCAGCCTTAAGGAGCAGGTACGGAGCCAGCGGGCATCTCTCCACCCACTTGCCTGGTCAGTGGCGCAATGACCGCGCTACGCCTGGTGTGGGTGCTTCTGGGAATCGCCGGGCCTCCTCCCCCGAGTCCCAGGCTTGCCGCCAGGTTCTGGGACCTGCAGGGGCTGTCACCTGGCCTTCGCCCTCGGCCTGGGCCTGTCATTCTGGGAGCTGCCGCCAGGGGGCCAGGGCTGCCGGTGTCCTGCGACCCCGGGCGAGTTGCTGAGAAAAGCGGATGCGCTCGGGGCTCCGGCGCCTGCTTTGTCTCCAGCGACCTGCCGCGGAGGCCTGGCGCCCAGCACCCCTCATCAGGGGAGGCGTGGGAGCCGGCGGGGGGGCCCCCGCCCGCGCCCCAGGACACCGACGCAGCGAGGTGCGCAGCCTGCAGGCGACAGAAGAGAGGTCCCGCTGTCCCAGCCCCCTCCCCGCCCGCCACACACGTCCCCCACCTGAGAACCTCATCGAACTGACTGATTCATTCCCGGCGACTTCTGCAGCCGCTGCTGCTCCCCTATCTGCACCTTGAACTTGCATTAAGTTTTAATTAAAGCCGTTTCACTGGCCTTGCCCTTGGCTAAATGCAGCCGCGGGCACAGGGCACATAGATATTTAATAGCCTGCCTCTCCCCGCTGAAGGCACAGGGTGCCCCAGGGTGTACCCGAGCCATGCCCGCTCACTGCGATCCGCACGCTCGCTTAAGTGTGCCCACAGGCCCTGAGCGGGAGGCGTGCAATAACTATTCATTGCCCTGGGTTAAGTGTGCCCAGGGGCACCCGTAAACTCAATGCAGTGATTAGCAATTGCTCCCTGTGAAGGCTGCCCGGGGTCCTGCTCCATGTCCTGGCCCTAAATATAGCCTCCGCGTGGGGTCTTAAAGGGCACCGCGTTTTTGCTGCGCCTGGCGGTGTCTTCCTTCCCTTCTTTAAGCAGAATTGCTTCTCTCCTACGGAAAGCCCGGCTGCCAGGGCTCTACTGCCTTCCTCCAGGCTGCAGCGGGCAGACGGGGTGTGGGGCAGAGGGACGGCTTCGGCGTGGCCAGGGGAAATGCCCAGTCCTCCTGGTCTTCTCACCAAACCGTGGACATCCCCCTCTCCTTCCTCTTCGCTCCCCGAGGCCCCATGGCATCCGCACCTCGCCAGCTGCGCCCGGACCCCAGCTGCCCCGTGTTCGGCGAGGGCAGCAGCTGAGGCAACCACATTTCCCTGGGTCTGTTGACACTCGAGTCCCAGAACATAAATGATTTTCTTGTCTTAATGAGCAAACAACCCTGCTGCTCGCTCTCCCGCGGCCTCCTGCTGGGTAATTGCCCGCTTAGTGCTCTGGCTGCAATGCTTACTCACTCACCTTGCCTACCGCTTGCCTTACTTACCCAACCGGGGGTGGGGGGGAGTGGGGGTGTCTTCCTCTTTGTTCTGCGGTCCGGCCCTGGCCCCTGCCCCCCCCCCCCCCAGGAAGCGCCAGTGGACAGGGAGGGCAGGAGCTACTTTCTGGAGAATTCCGCTGGCAGGTGCTTGGGGACGCGGGCAGGCAGGACTGCTGGAATCCTGTGAGTGTGGTGGACAGTGCCAACTCTCTCGGGCCCTTGTCTCGGCAGCCAAAGCTGGAAGCTTCCCCTAGTTGCCTCAAGGCAGAGGCCTGAGGCCCTCTGAGGGGCCCCTGAGTCCTTTCAGTGACGGGGAGCTCACTCCTTCGAAAGGCCACCTGCTCCTGCCCGGCTCTTTCCCCAAACTCTTCTGCGGGTTCCCTGCAGCCTCCTCGAAGGAGGTGTCCTCTCTCCGTTTCAATTTTCTTTTCTTTCCTTTTTTTTTCTTTTCTTCCTCACTCGGGGATATTTTTTTCCATTGATTTTAGAGTGGAAGAGAGAGGGAAAGACAGAGAGAAACATCGATGTGAGAGAAACACATCAATTGGTTGCCTCCTGCACACGCTCTGACCAGGGCCCGGGCCAGGAGGAGCCTGCAACTGAGGTACGTGCCCTTGACCAGAATCAAACCTGGGACTCTTCAGTGCGCAGGCCGATGCTCTATCACTGAGCCAAACGGGCTAGGCGCTAGGGCCACATTTCTTTAAAAATTTTTAAAAAATTAATTTCAGAGAAGAAGGGAGAGGGAAAGAGAGATAGAAGCATCAATGGTGAGAAAATCATTGGTCGGCTGCCTCCTGCATGTCCCCGACTGGGGATGGAGCCTGAAACCCGGGCATGTGCCCTGGCCAGGAATCGAACCGTGACTTCCTGGTTCATAGGTCATCGCTCAACTACTGAGCCACGCCGGCCGGGCCATTTCACATCCCCCTGAATATTTGAGGGATAAGTCAGCTTTGCCTTCCTTAAGCCTCCTCCTGAACTCCTCCTGCACGTCCTCCTAGGAGGGGTCTGGGCACCTCTTCCTGCCCGCCTCCCAACACCCAGGCACCCACTTTATTCAAGGCCCCGAATGCCAATGTCCCATCCAAGCGTGGCCAATGGAACCGAGGCCAGGACTCCCGGTGCGCCTGGCCTGGGTGGCACTGGCGGTCTGGGTGGCTCTGCTGGTGGGTGACAGTGCGTTCATTCCTTCAGCCATAGAGCGCGCCTGCTGTGTACCAGCCCTCCTGCAGGGGGTCTTCTCCCCCAACCTAGGGAGCACGTGTCCAGTCTGCCTTCCTCCCTGAGCGGACGGCTGTCCTGCCTCTTGTCCTGCCATCTTCTCCTTGGCCCCTCAGGTGTGCCTTCTCCTTGACCCCCTGGTGACTGTATCTCCTTGGCCAGACTGTCTGAGGGGAGCTGGTGGCTTCTCGGGGAGATGCCAGCCTGATGGGATTGAGCATGGGCACCACCACCACCAGGGCCATTGTCAGAAGCAAGACCTTCAGCGGCAGGAGGTCAGTGTGGGCAGCAGCCCTGCCGGGGACCCCCAGGGGGGTCTCGAGGCATAGGCCTTCGGAACTGCTGTTGGGAGCAGCTCCGTGCAGTTTGCCGCCCCTGCGGTGCTGATTCAAATGTCCACCTGCGAGACCGGACAGATTTAGGCAGGCGGCTTCGAAAATTGGGCCCCATTAGCGTCAAGTGCTCCCGCACGGCAGACGAGGGGCTCCTGCAATCACGCACTCGCGTCCTGATCATGGTGGCAGGAGATAATTACGTCTCTTTAAATAGCCCAAAGTTGCCGTGTAAGAGAAGACGGCTCACATGACATTTGCTCCCAGCTCGCTTCCTGCTAAAAATATCCCGGCGAAATAATATTTCCTGGCTGCGTCGGAGCAGCAGCCCCTGCCTGGCCTGGGCTCCCTGACACTTGGCATCTGGTCCAGGGGCTGGTCCGGAGGTGGGAGGGGAGCATCTCCCCAGAGCTGCTGCCGCTCTGCCTGGGCAGCAGTGACAAGTGGCATCGCTTGCCCACCGGTCCGACCCAGGAGCGCCCCTAATGCCCACCCTTCCCAGCTTCATTGCTCTCTGGTCCCCTCTGTGTTCCTCCCTCTCCTGGGCACCTGACCCCCACGGGCCCACCCACCCCTCCTGTTCTTAACCCCCATCTTGGCCGCGAATTTCTGAATTGCTTGGGACAAAGAGACCTTGGCTGTCCCTGGGGGGCATGCGTGCTTGGGGGGTGGGTGGGGTGTGCAGAGTGGATCATCTACTGGAGGCCCCACTCCGGGGTCTTTGGACTCCTGGGAGGTTCCGAGATGGGCAGGGGTCTGAGAACAAAGATGGGAGGAGTCTGCATCCCTCTCAGGCTCTCAGGCTGTGAGCTGACAGCGGGTGAGACCCCCTGACCTAGACCCTGGATGTGTTAACTATTTCGTTCAGCTCGGGGTGCATACCGAGAAAGGCCTGGAATCTGAGAGACCACTGCCTGCCTCCAGGGAATTTGAATGCCAAGGAGCTCCGTATGCTACGTTCCGTGGATCAGAGGCTTTATCCTGTGTGGGTAGATCAGAGATGACTAAGACTCTACATTGTATAGAATTGTATCATGGACCACATTTCAGGATGGGGGTTCTGGTGAGTTTAGGGCATTGGAGATGGTCTTTTTTAAAAAAAATATTTTTATTAATTTCAGAGGGGAAGGGAGTGGGAGAGAGAGAGATGGAAACACCAATGATGAGGGAGAATCATTGATCGGCTACCTCCTGCACGCCCCCCATGCTGGGGATCGAGCCGGCAACCCAGGCATATGTCCTTGACCGGAATCAAACCCGGGACCCTTCAGTCCACAGGCCGAGGCTCTATCCACTGAGCCAAACCAGCTAGGGCTGGAGATGGTCTTGCTGAGCCCCCAAACATCCTTTCCCTTATTCATGATGCTTGAAACCCCTTTATGTGGAGACAGATGCATTCATTCAGCAACTGCAGAGCTGCCTTCAATGCAGCACCCCCTCCCCGGTGAGAGGGCTGACACAGTGAAATTCTCGCTAAAGTGCAAACAACTGCTATGAGCGCTAGCCCCTAAGAGCAGCGTTGGTCATGGAAGGGCCGGGCCACCAGAGCCGAAGGCAGTCTTGGCAGACATTCCTCCAGCGTCTCAGGGCAGCCCTGCTCCTGGCACCTGCCTCCTCAGGGGCCTTCGCACGTGGCAGGGTCCCCTGGGGGGTTGGGCCTCTCTCTCCTCTTCATCCCTGCAGCCAAATTCCCGTGCGGGCAGCGAGGCCACACACCAAGTAACCTCGTGTCACCCATTCAGGAAGCGTGCTGCGCTGGCCGTGGGCGTGGCCCCTGGCGAAGGCCCTGCCACCAGCCTTTCGTCCACACACCTGCCAAGTGTGTACTTCTCCGTGTCACCTGTCCTCTCCCCTCCAGTGTCGTCCCAGCCGGATCCAGAGGTCTCGTCTCAGAACCCCAGGCAGAGACAAATGAGTTTCCGGTCCAAAGAGGCTCCTGCGATCAGGGGCGCCTGAGCCTGAGACCCTCCTGGCTACCAGTCTGGAGCCTTCCCCGTGACGGAGAGCGGGAACTGTGAGGCGGTCAGCGGGAACTGGCTGGGCGCTCCGGGCCCAGGTCAGTGTCCTGATTTCCGCATCGGCTGTCCTGCCCCTTCCGGAGGCTTCTCTCTCTCAGGCCACTGACACCACGGGGAGGAGGAGATGAGGAGAGCAGCTCTGTGGGGCCAGCTGAAGTAGGGCCTTTGCTACGTATGCCCCTGAGGCCTGGTACTCTTGCCAGGTGGACCCCGTGGGAGGACAGCCACAGGGCACAGGATGCATCCTGCCACGTGCAGCTCATTCTTTCTTGCCCCACCAGGCGGTCCAGGAAGCCTCAGGGAAGCTGGCCATAGGGTAGCCCTGAGCCTGGGATGGACTGAGATGGCCGCCCCATCCTCTGGTCGGCAGAGAGCCCTCCGCCCCCCCGCCCTCTTTCCCTAGCCCCGTGGCCCTTTCTCTTGTGCCAGGGCTTCCCTTCCTGGGCCCCTCAAGGTGCCACACCAGCCGGGGAAGCACTGGGTCAGGCACAGTGACCGGAGGGGGCCTGAGATCTAAGTGGAGGCAGCAAGCATTTGTTTGAGATAAAAAGAAAAAAAGCATTGCAGTCGGGGCCTAGACGCAGAAGCCAAGTGAGGCCCCGGTGACGGGTGAAGGCCGGGGCTTTTATGAGGCAGGGGAGTGATCACAGGGGAGAGGAAGGCATTGCTCTCGGGGCGGATCTGCTAAGCTCTCCAGCCCCCCCTGCTGCTGCTGCTTCTATAGGACTCTCCTCCTGGCCGGGGGGGCCCCCTCCCTGTGCGCTTTACACACCTGTTTGGAGACGGTGTTGGCTGGCCCAGCCCACAGGTCATTTTGCCTCTAACATTCCAAAGGGTCAAGGAGCCAAGCGAGGCCTTCCCCTGGGTGGGCGGCCCCGACCCCCTTTGGAGCCGGTTCCTTTTATGTGATTTCTCTGGGTCGTGACATCTCTGACGGGAGGGGTGGGGGCACATCAGCTTGCTCGCTGCGGGCCCGGTGAGCAGTCGCTTACCTTCTCGGACCCCAGGCTTTCACCTGCGCGGGGAACATGGGTACCTGTGGTGAGGATGGAGGTGATGGCCTCAGGAGCTCAGTGGAGCTCCAGGCACGAGGTGAGCCCTTGCCATTCGGACCCGCCCGCCATCTGTGTGGGCTTGGATCCTCCGTCACTTACTAGGTTAGGCTCCTGGCAAAGAGGACTGCACCATGCAACTTACTTTTTTTTCAGGGGAAGGGCAGAGCGAAACATCGACCTGAGAGAAACACATCGATGGGTTGCCTCCTGCACGCGCCCGACCAGGGCCTGGGCCGGGGAGGAGCCTGCGCCCGAGCTACGTGCCCTTGACGAGAATCGAACCCGGGACTCTTCCGTCTGCAGGCCGACGCTCTATCCGCTGAGCCACACCGGCCAGGGCTGCCACTTACGTTTTCACCTGAGACGAACCCTCTTCTAGACGTGGTGTGTGTCCTCCCGGCTGGGCTGCTGGGATGCGTGAATTAAAAGGGGTTTTCAGTGAAAGCCCGGCTACCAGACAACCTGGTGTTCGCAAAACCACCAGGAGCAAAACCCATTGAAATACAGCATGAGGAAGTACACATAATTCGCAAATGATGTCGCTCCCTTTCATCCCCGACTTCCGCACTGTCCTCAATAGAAGACAGACGCGGGGAGATTTGACTCAGATGGGAAGGGTGCAGGAATGCCCCGTTACCAGGATGTGAAGTTTCGGTGCTGCAGAAAAATGTAATTGTATTCAGAGCTGTATTTAAAGATTAAAAGGGGGGCTGCCTACCACATCCAGCCCCCAATTCACAATTAGAGCCAAGGAAAAGGCGGTGTGTGTGTGCGTGTGTGCTTGTGTGTGCGCGCATGTGTGTGTGTGTGTGTGTGTGTGTGTGTGTGTGTCTGGGGGAGGGGTGGGTTCTAACAGCCTGCTAAAAATGGAAGTGTTTTTTTGAAAGTTTTTACACATTTCGGCTGTTTTCATTTGAACAGTTTCCTGCAGTAATGACATTGATTTTGAAAAGGGAGGGCTAGGATTTTATCCTACAGTTATTCACGGAGGGACTGGCGTGCGGGAGACCCTGTGGGACCGGAGGCCACCAGATTCCTGTTCCCTTTGGGGTTGGTTCTGGAAGGGGACAGAAGAAAGGTCGGGGAGTTAGCATGGAGAGCAGGGGTCCGGGGGAAGGACCCAAGGGGCAGAGGACCTTTGTCGTGAGCTTTGAAGAGAGGGTAAATAACACGCAAAAATAGCTTGGCACCAGCAGCAAGGACATCGTAGGGAGACTTTTCGGCCTCTCTGGAAAGATTTAGGGATGTTCTCTTGCTCCTTAATGAATTGAATCTCAGCAGCCAGAGGGAACCTCTCCCCCGCTTCCAGCACACCTTCCCCGCCCTCCCTGCGCCCGTAGCCCTTTCTGCTCCCATTATAGCTATGGGTGCCCGGGCCTGCCTCTCCCTCCAGGCGGCGAACTCCTTGCCAGCAGGGGCTGCGTCTCCTTCAGCCTTTTATTCTTCACGCTCCTTATTGAACGGCCCTGCCCTTGGTAAGCACTTAATACACGCTGGTTGGACTGAGTGTTCGCTAGGAATTCTTTAAAAATGTTTTAGGCAAAGAACACGTCTCTGTGTAAACATGTGACGAATACGTTGGAATATTAATGCGCCAGGATTGCCTAAGTGCCCGGTGGTTACAGATTTCTTTTCTTTTAATCTTTTCTCCCCCTCTCCCTGTTCCTCCCCCTGCCCCCCAAGTGGTTAGAACCTATAGGAGATACTCTGATTATTTAAGATCGGAGGCGTCAGGACCAGTGGAGGCAACGCGGAGTCAGTCCAGCCGGAGAGGAGCATCCGGGAGGGCGGTGTAGCTCCCGCTATTGAGATTTTAAAGCCGGGGCAACCGACAGAAAGGCCTCGAGGGGTCAGGCAGGGAGTGTGAGTGAGGGAGGGTAAGAACACCCAGGGCCTGAGTGCAGGAGGGTAGAGGCGGAAAAGCTCAGGGCAGGAGACCCCAGGGCAGTGATGGCGAACCTTTTGAGCTCAGCGTGTCAGCATTTTGAAAAACCCTAACTTAACTCTGGTGCCGTGTCACATGTAGAAATTTGTTGATCTTTGCAACCATAGTAAAACAAAGATTTATATTTTTGATATTTATTTTATATATTTAAATGCCATTTAACAAAGAAAAATCAACCAAAAAAATGAGTTCGCATGCCACCTCTGACACGCGTGTCATAGGTTCGCCATCACTGCCCTAAGGAGTGGTGGGGACTTTGCTGAACTGGCAGCCACTGGACCCACCAAAGACAGTCCCCCCCCACCCCCCTAGCTGGGGCCGAGTCCCGCCTGGTAGAGAGGCGGCCAGTGTGTGGCCAAATCGTCTGATTTTCCAGGAGACGCTGGTCATAAAAGTTTGTCTACTAATTAAAGAAAATATTTAAAACCCTCTGCAGGCCAAACCAAACATGTGTAAGGGCTGCATGTGACCCGAGAGCCAGAATTTGCAAGCTCCAACCTAGCGGTTCTCAACTGGAGGCGTGTCCTTGCCTCCCAGGGGACATTCAGCCATGGACGGAGGCCTTTTCAATGGTCACAGCTCAGGGGCATGCTGCTGCCTCTGGTGGGCGGGATCAGGGATGCTGCCAAGCTCCAGACAGTGCACGGGAGACCTCTCTGCGCTCAACAAAGGCCCGTCCGGCCCAGAGCGTCCACAGAGCTGAGGCGACGCTGGTTGTGTGGTTCCTGGGGCCGGGCCGAGGTCTTCGGCCTCAAGTAGGAACGGCTCAGAGATGAACCTCTGGTGGCATCAGCCGGGCAGTGAGCCAGGGCCAGGGCTCTTTGCAGAAATTCTGATTCCATTTCAAAAACAGCTTTTGATGCCACGTGTTCTCAAAAAGCGCCGCAGGCCGGAGATCTGAAATTTAGCCAATGAAAACGGCTCCTAACCCAGTGCTGGAACTTGACCTCCCCAAACCTCTGTCTCCCCATCTGTACGAGGGGACACGTGTGGCCCATTCAGCAGGGGGTCAGAGGATTCTGCTCCCATAAGGAGGAGGACTGACCTCTGCTTCCTTCTGGAAGGTCCGGGAAAGGATTGCCTGCCTCAGCGGCCGCATCGACCACTGCTCCCTGCCCACCATCCCCAGGACTCAACACCACCCAACAGGAATGCCTTCTGCTGCCTCTTCCCAGTTCCAAACGGCAGGACCAGCTGCCATGGGAGTTTCTCGGCGCTTCACTCACCAACCTCTCGCTGGACAGGCTGGTGCAAGGCTATGGCCCTTCTCCCCCCCACAGTCTCCCCCGAAGGGGCCTCACCCTCAGGAGGCCTTGGGGGACCCTCTCTCCCCACCGTTCTTCCAAAGGGACCGACTCTGACCTCTGGCCGCGTCTCCTCCTCTCCCAGTGCAGAGCGTTCCTCAGAGAAAGCGGGGCCCCCAGGACTCCCACCCAAGGGCAGCACCCCCTCCCAGCTGTCCTGCCCGGCTCATCGCATCCCAGGGCCTTGAGACCCAGCAAAAAGGAGGCGGGGGTGGGGGGGCGTCAGTGCCTGCAAACAGGAGGGAAACTGAGGCCAGGAGCCCAGGATCACACCTCTGGGATAGGACCCTCCGGCGGCCGAAGTCCCCGTCCTCTCGTTCCTGAAGCTCTGTTCTCCGTCCACTGCTTCCTCCCTGAAGCAGGCGCTTGGGCCGTTCCTGCAAACAGCCAAACCTGTGGGAAGAAGCTGGGCATCGTCTCCCTTTCTCCCAGAGCAATGCAGTCAGCACGGTCCTAGGCTCCCTGGGAAAAGCGGGGTCCCCCAGACACCCTGCCTGCGGCCACGCTGTTCTCAGGTGCGAGGACCTCCTCCACAGCCCCCTCCCTGGGGTCTCGAGGCCTTCGGTCACCCTAACTGATGGTCTAGGAACTCTCAGGCCAGAGCAGGCCCCCACCCAGCCACCAGGAAGTCCCCTCCTGCTGGGAGGGTTGTCACAGGGGGATGTGGCTGCCACTGAGCCCACGCAGAGGAGGCCTAGCCAGGCCAGCCAGGAGGTCCAGCCATTGGTGAGGCCCGCACTGACCAGCCTGGCGGAAGAGGCGGCGGGTCCCCCTGCTCCTTCAGCGAGCCCAGGAAACATTCCCCGCAGTGGAGGCCTGGGGCCACACGGGAAGGGGGCCAGAGGGTACCTGGGCCTGTCACCCCCAGAACCAAGTGAGGACAGGGAGCGGCCAGGACTCACCCTTCTGCTGGGGACACATCCACTGCCCTAACCGTGCATCCTGCCACCGTGTGGTGGCAGCAGCCAGGCCCAGTGCCCACCCGAGGGCCTCAGGACCATGGGAGGCACAAGGTGGGCCCAGCAGCGCCCCCTGCCCCCCACCAGTTCTTACTGCTCAGCCACTGCCAGCAAAACCAGCCGCCTGGCCCTCGTCAGGTGAGCCCTCTGTCCTCCACCTCCCAGAAGCCCCCAGCCTCATCCGTGAGGGTCAGAGAGACCCCGAGGCCTGGAGTCACCCCCAGCCTCATCCATGGGAGGGTCAGAGAGACCCCGAGGCCTGGAGTCACCCAACTAGCTGGTGGAATAGTCTGAGTGGGGGCTGCACTCACAGCCAGCAGACTCGCCCAGCCTGGCTGAGCCTGGAGCCCCTTCCCTGCTGCCCAGGGGACACCCAGTGGGAGCCGGCAGAGCCCACACTGGCAACCAGCCCTGAACACCTTGGGCCTCCTGAGCCTCAGAATATCATGCAGGGGCTTCTGAGAGGCCCCCGTGCCAGGGTGAGTCCTGGAAGCGCCCCAAGGGACCCCAAGTTCAGAGGAGTGGGGTGGGCAGGGTCCAGGCGTGCTTTCTGCCTGCTGAGTGCACAGCCCAGCGTTGGCCTCCTGCACCTCGTGCTGTTGAGGGGCGGGGGGTGGGGGGTGGGGGGGGGAGTGTAGGAGGCGGGGGAGGGAAAGGCCACTGGCTCTGCAGCCCGCAGGTGAAGTCCCAGGCCCTTCACTCTTTAGCTGTGTGGCCTTGGGCAAGGCACTAACCCAGGGGTGGGCAAACTTTTTGACTCAAGGGCCACAATGGGTTCTTAAACTGGACTCAGAAGAAGGAGCTGCGGCCGTGTTTCCCGACGTTGCCATGGTAACACTGCTGCTGGTGAAGGAGCGGAGGGGAGAGCAAGAGAACCCTCCGCTCTTTCGGCTCCGCGGGCCGGATAGAACAGCCGAACGGGCCGGATCCAGCCCGCAGGCCGTAGTTTGCCCACGGCTGCACTAACTTCTCTGTGCCTCAGTTTCCTGATCAGTCAAATGGGGGAAGTGAGGGGTCGGTGAAGAAACGGACACAAAACCTCAAGTGCAGGCCCCACACCAGCATGTGCCTGTGAGCCACTTTTTCGGTCACGACTGCTGTGTCCAGAGCGGCTGAGCTGTGGGGTCCCAGGCCCAGGCGGAGGGAGGTCTGCTCCCTCCAGGAGCGTGTGGAAAGCCTCAGCCGGGACTCCGACACCTCTGGGCGGGGGGTGATAAGACCCTGTGGTGTGAGAGGCCCCTTCCCGGGCCTCCGGGGCCCTGGCCCAGGTGCCTGCAGGACCCCGTGGGAGGAGGATCAGTGTTACTGCTGTGTCTTTGTGCCTCACCACGCCTTTGCCCTGGTTCTCTTGGCAGCGGCTGGTACCCGGTTGGCTTGGACAGCTCCGGTGACCCCACTGACCCCTGGGGGTCGCCAGCGCTCTTAGGCTCCCTGGCCCAGAAGCCCAGCCGAGGCCTGAGCCGGGGTGGCCCTAGGTGCTTCCCTGGGAGGTGGCTTCCCCCCCTTCCCCTCCCTGCTGCCGGGGGCCGGCTCATCGCTGGAAGTGGGACTTGAAACGCAGCCAAGGAGAGAGGCCTTCCGCAACGCCCGGCCCGCAAAACAAACAAATAAATAAATAAATAATCAGGGCTGTCTCGGCTGATAAACGGTCTCTCCCTCCAGGACGCGTCCCCCTGCCCCCCCCCCCCCCCCCCCCCCCCCCGCCAGGCAGATCCATCCCAGCAAGAGCTTAATAGCTCCATTTAAGGCTTTTCCTTTTCAGCACGGAATTGAGCTGCTCCTGCCATTACGAGGTTTTCAGCTTCTCCCTGAAATCAAATTACTGACTCCATTTAATTTTTTAAAAGCTCGGATGATTTCCCTTCTTGAATCGGAGCTGTGACTCCAAGGCCAACCCCCACGCCCGCCCCAGGCCCCCTCTCCCCCGCTCCCAGCAAGGCAGGTCCCCTGCGGGCAGCCGCTACCCAGGGCCAGCCGCCCCCCGTGCCAGGGCAAGCCTGACACCTAGAGGGGAGCCAGCAGGAGGCCCAAGACTCTGGACACCGGGCTGTGGCCTGGGCTGGGAGGAGAGAAGGCCTGGGTCAGCTCCCAGGGGCTTTGGCTGGAGGGGAGGAGGTTGGGGCCGGTGCTGAGCTGTGGGCTCCCTGTCGGCTGGTTCCCAGGGCCCCGGGTACCGTCCTGGACCGCATCACTCAGCAAATGTTTATGGAGCGCATCCTCTGTACCAGGCCCCGCTCTGGCCCTCGAAAGCGAAGACTGAGCCAAAGGCCCTCCTGCAGGAGCACATGTGTGCGTGTGCGTGTGAAGGCGGGTGGAGACCGACATAAACACGGACACGGACAATTGCAGAGAACGCCATGTGCTCCGGAGAGACCCAGCACGCAGCGGGGTGGGGTGGGGGGCTTTGGGCGGGACTGTCAGGGTGCCCCGCTGAGGAGGTGAACCTGGAAAGAGCTGGGGGGCATCCAGGCAGAGGGACTGAGAGTGGGAGGTGTGGAGGGACAGAAAGAAGGCCACGATGTTGGAATGAGCAGGAGGAAGTGGAGGGCAGGGTGGGCCTGCAGGCCAAGGCGGGAGCCCAGACTTTGTTCTTGCTTTAGAAGCGGACATCAGGGGGACAAGGAAGAGCAGCAGCAGGGGGGCCGTGGGGGGTAGTCCTGAGCAAGACAGGCCAACCCATCCCGCTGGAAGGAAAGGGCCCCTCTGAGGGTGACGTTTGAGACATGTCACTGGCCTGCAGCCTGCCTGTCTCTCTCCTGCCCCCCTCAACCCCCCTTTTCCAGCAGAGCCACCCAGCTTGGCGGCCTCATGGACCAGGGGCAGACAGACCGAGAAAGTCCTGGAAACCAGGGCGGCCCCTTTACCAAGTGGCCCTCATGTTTAACCACCTTGGAGAGGAGACTGAGGGGATGCCGTTAATGAAATCGCCAGGCTTCACCTGGCGTAAAAGGCTCTTGGCCCCCAGCGGGCGGCGATTTGCAAGGCTGCGAGGGCCGGGCATTAACTGTTCTGGGCACTCTTCCCAGCTCTGCGCGCGGGAGCAGACCACTGCTCTCCCTCTCCTGGCTCCCCGCCGGCCGACTCCACGCCCGGACGGCTGTTCATTAGACGGTGTGCCGGCTCCTCTCCTTCCTCAAGGTGGGACCGGCTGTGACCAGGGCTCCGGGTCCGCCAGGGCCTGGGCGGCACCTGTGCCCGGTCCCTGATCCCGGGGCCCTGTGTGCACGTGTGCGAGTGTTTGCCCCTCCTCGGGGACCTCTAGGCCTCCCAGTCATTTGCTTCCGGCTGACACTGAGCATCTGCAATGCTCTTCCCCTCCTGGTCAGCTCCCTGCTGGGCGGGCCTCGGACTACCTGGGCTGTAGGTGCTTAGACATCAGTGTCTCCACACCCTCAGAGCTGGGATCCGCATCCCCCCGCTCCCTGTCCCCCCCGCCCCCCCCCGGGACTCTGTGCAGCCCAGGGTCCCCGATGCACGTGTCACCCTTCTCTTCCGTTACCCGGAGCAGCCAGTGGTCCATTTCCCTTCGGGGTTCCCCTCCGGGAGCACAAAGCCTGTGTTCATGCCCTACCCCATCCTGGCTCACTGCCTTTCCCTTGTTGAAGGTCTCGGATTCCCAGATGCTGGATGCTGCCCACGGCAGCCTTCCTCCATCGCGACACACGCTCTCCGCCTTGGCTGCCAGTCCCCACAGGGTATCGGGGTGTCACCTAACCTGGGACTGGAGCCGTCAGCTTCGTAATCCTACAAATCATTGGATACGCAGAGGGGCCGTGGTGGGAAGAGCCTTCTGCTGGGGGTCCTGCCCAAGCTGGGCGACCTGGAGCAGCTCGGCTCACGACTCTGAGCCTCGGATTCAGCCCTCTGCGAACAGGAGTCCATGGCCAGGCCACCTCTGCAATAGGGGGACGTGGGGTCCATCCTGTGAAGATGGTGAGTTGAGAGCCTCCACCGCTGCGAGAACCCCTCCCCCTGAGCATCCACCCTCCCCAGCTCAGCGCACCTCTGCTGCTGACACCTCTGCTGCTGTGGTCTCTGGGGGTGCCGGTGACAGAGACACCAGCGCAAGCCACTGGGGGGCTAGATGGGGTGATATGGACGGATGCTTGTTCCCACCCCGACCTTGCTCCACAGGTGACCTCCCTCTAGCTCAGTGGTTCTCAACCTCTGGCCCTTTAAATACAGTTCCTCATGTGGTGACCCCAACCATAAAATGATTTTCGTTGCTACTTCATCACTGTCATGTTGCTACTGTTATGAATCGTCATGTAAATATCTGACATGCAGGATGGTCTTAGGCGACCCCTGTGAAAGGGTCGTTCGACCGCCAAAGGGGTTGCGACCCACAGGTTGAGAAGCGCTACTCTAGCTCCTCATTCCTCTCCCGAATCCCGGCATGAGCTGCCCCACATCCCAGATCTCAAAGCGCCCAGAAGAGCGGTTCTCAAAGTAGGTTCCTCAGCATCAGCACCACCTGAACGCGTTAGAAATGCGAATTCTTGAGCTGGAGCCTAGACCTCCTAAGCGGGTGGGCCCAGCCTCAGTGCTGTAACAAGCTCTCCAGGTGAAGCTCATACAGGTGAGAGTGAAATCCTTCGAGAATTTCAACCTCTCCCTCCTCCACCCCAACTCAGAGAATTCCTCTGCCTCCCGGACAATAGCAACACCCGACAGCTTCCAGGAACCTTCCACCTCCATCTGCATACCCCAGCGTGCCATCTCTCCGAGGAAGAGAGGAAGAGTGCGGCCCAATTTACAGATGCGGAAACTGAGGCCCAGGGCCTGGCCCACGGCCACCGTAGCGAAGATGGCAGATCCGGGGCTCCAACCCTGGGCTCCTCATTCCAAGGTGAGGGCTCTCTCCCGGACACCTTGAGTTTCTGGGGCTCCTTAAACCAGAGGAATTAGCACGTGTCCATCCATCGGTCAGGAAGGAAACCCCCCTCCAGCTCTCTCTCCCCAATTTCCAGTTGCAATCCCAGGAGACAGCATCCAGGAAGCATAAATTCTGCCTGGTGGCTGAGTAAGAGCGCTGAAAGGAGTCACACGTCAGGGAGATGGGACTTTATTTCTCAATGAAATAGCCTTTTTATGGTTGGAATAAAAGTGCCAGCGGGAGCCTAATGCCAGGAAGTAGAGAACACATTTGATAAACTCCTTCAGCCAGGGGCGGGGCTGCCTTGGAGGGGGCTGCTCTGGTCTCTGGGGGTGCGGGCTGCCGGAGAGCGGCTCCTACATGCGTGTTGCTCTCCAGGTTGGAGCCTGGACGATCCTGGGGACCTTCTCCTGGACCCCGCAGCCGATGGAGGGCTGCCCCAGAACCAGGCGAGCGCCTTTCGCTTGGCCACCGGATCCCAGGAGCGGGGCTGCAGTGCGGAGAGTGGCCAGCAGGGGGCAGCATAACCCATCGTTCCAGCCGAAGAAGAGTGGGCGCTTTGGGGCAAGTGGTGTGAGTACTGGGGGGGCGGGCAGGGGGACTCTGAGGCTCAGC